CACTGGTCCCCAAGTAGACGAGGATTCTAGAGATAGAGTCCACCTCTTTTGAACCATTCAAACTTTTGCCACCTCTCCTTCTAACTTCTCAGACCCTCCTCCCAATTCAGAGCAGGGGAGTCCCTTAGAGGAGAGTGGAATGTTCACCTAGTGACTCAGGGGAGATTTTCAGTTTCAGTTCTTCATGTGGGGGCGAGAAAAGAGGGGGCCACCAGGGCAGCCTCTGCAACCTGCACACGGTGGCCTCGTATCGTGAGGCGGATCTGCCCGGTCTTGGCCCAGCCGGCCTGCCCTCCCTGTCCCGGCTCCCCTGCGATGGGAGCTCATCCTCTCCCACCTGGGGCTGACCTGTGATGACTGCCAGAGTGACCGTGGCACTGAGCTGCTGTCCCTGCAGATGGATGCGGCAGGTGTAGGTCCCAGCCTGGGCCTGGCTCACAGCCTCCAGTTGGAGGGTAAAGTTGCCATGGTGTCCAGCCACCAGGAGGTCAGGGCCTCCCCCGGGAGGGGTCCACTTGGCAGTGAGAGAAGACGGGGTCCCCACACCGGGGGGCAGGCGGCAAGGTAGGTCCACCCTGGAACCTGCTCCAGCATACACCGTCAGAGGCACTGAGGGCTCCAGACCTGGGAAAGAAGGGGAAGCCAAAGTTGTAGCGGAGAGGGGGAGGTACAGAGAGGCTGGAGCACTGGGGCCGCAGGGACGGGGAGGCAGAAGAGCAAAGGAGGTGGTCCAGCTCTGAAGAGTGCAAGGGAGCAGAGTAAGGTGGATGAACTGAAGATGCTCAGAGCCCCCCGTGTGGGCCGGGCCACCAGGAGGCCAAAGGTGGCCCAGTGAGGCTGGATGGCCCAGGGAAAAGCCAGAGGTGGGGAAGGCAGCTGAAAGGTTGCAATTCGAGGTAAAAGGGAGTGGGGCTGTGAGGCCCAGAGCATTCACAGTGGGAGCTAGCTGCCGGAGACCTGGTTTGGGGACCCATAAGTCAGGGGGAGGTGATGGGGGGCAGGGAGGGGTTGTGGTCAAGGGTGAAGGCAGACTGGAGGAGTTACCCAGAACGGTGAGGTTGTACGTGAGGGAGACGGTGAAGCCATCTCTGTAGGTGAGGATGCAGCCCCACGGCCCAGAGTCTGAGGGGCTGACTTGGGGCAGGAAGAGGAAGCTTCCAGCTAAGTGGTGATGGGGGGACTTGTGAACAGGGACTCTGCCCTGGAACCAGTGCACAGAGGCTGGCAGGTCAGGGCGGCTGAAGGAGCAGTTCAAAATGACCCAGTCGGAGATCCTGAGGGACCCTGGGGGGCTGGCAGTCACTGCTCACGGATAAAGAAGATTTGATTAGCCCCACCGCCAACGCTTGTCTTCTCCTCCCCAACCCTCCTCTGACCACCGCCCGCAAAACCCCCCCCCCCAACCCCCCCCCCCAAGTCCAATGCCTGGTACCTGGAGGTGCTTAAAATGGATGCTCCGGGATCTCCTGCCTCCTTCCCCTGCACACGCCCCCCGCCCCCCCAGGCCTCCAGTATACTTGGTTGGCATGGTGGACCCTGCCCTTTCTCCAGGCCTTGCCTGAGGATCCCCACTCAGCCCACCCCCTGAGCTACAGATGTCTGAAATGAGTCACTCTAGCCTTGCACTCTCCCCGCAACCCAGGGGTGCCTCCTCCCCTCCCCCCTGGCACTCCCAGGGTGCGTGGAGGAGGGGAGCTCCAGGGGTGAGACAGTCTCTCCGGAGGGTCCTCTCCCCACACACGTGCTTCTCTGGGGGCGCCCCTTCCACTCTGCTCCCCACCCCCTCCCGCTCCCCTCCCGGGGGCTCTCGGGCGGGGCCCAGGGCGCCTCCCAAGAAGCACAGCCCCTGCCCGGTCTCTTCCTGCCTCCCGGGGCGACAGGGACCGCGGCGCCCCGGCTCCAGCCCCGCTCCCCGCGGCCCGCCCCCACCTACTGGAGGCCTGGCCCACGCGCAGACGGAGGCGGCAGGCGAGGGAGCGGTCCCGGAGGTGCACGGCCGCGCGGTACTCGCCGGCGTCGGCGCGTCGGGCCGGGCGCAGCCACAGCGAGAAGTCCCCGCGCTGGAGGCCGCGCTCGTCCAGCTGCACGCGGGGCTGCAGGGGGGGCCTCCCGCTGCGCAGGCCGCCGGCCGCCCGCATCAGCACCACGTAGCGCCGCGGCCCTGGGCCCCGGGCGGAGGGCGCGGCGGGGCGCAGGCTGGGCGCGGGCGCCGGAGGGCCGCTGGGCGGGAGAGAGGGACGGCACTGAGAAGTGCGAGGGGGAACAAGCCCGGGGACGGGGGGGGGGGGGGGGGAAGGGGCAGTCCAACCCCACTTCGAGGATGAGGAAAGGCACCCAAAAGGAAGACAGATCTCTGGCCCGCTAACAGTCATCATCCCCGTCTCCCCTCGGGTCGGGCCAGCGCCACCCACTCTCTGGAGAGGCAGGTGTAGAAGGGATGCAGGTGTGAGGGGAGCAGGCTTCCGAGGAAAGGCAGGAAAGGCGGCGGGGAGAGCTGAGCTTCTGGCTTCAGAGGGACTGACAGCTCAGGCGAGGAGACAGAGGGCTAGCTTGGGCCTGCGGTTATTGAGTCTGGATGCCACTGCTGTTGTATGTGGGGGTCCTGTTGCCCAAGTTAGGGGTGCATACCTGTCTGGTAGGTGGTGCCAAGTGACCCCTGCGGTTCGCAGAAGGCTGACATCCTGGAGAGGGGTTATGGGGCTGCAGGGGAGCTGGGCCGGAGCCCCCTCCTGGGCCCACACCACCGTCGGGACCTCTGTCCCAGACCCTGAAGCCTCCACTGGGGAGGAAAAAAGAGGCCAAGAGGAGGGGCCGTGAGCCAAAAGACTTAGGAGTAGAGAAGGAGCCTCAGTTGCCTGAAGGAGAAACGGGGCTGAGGAAGACCTTCGGTTTCTGTCCCTTCCCCACCCAACAGGAAGACTGACAAGAGGCTTTGGGGGCAGAAAGAGCGCCCCAAGCAAGGCATTAGAAGAATCCACCCAAGCTAAGGAACTTGGCGTCTGTGAGGTCCAGACATCCCTGCTGACCACCCCCTCCCCCACCCGTGGGTCTGGAGGGCAGCCCTCCCAGAGGGTCAGCCCCATCTTACCTGGAGCCGCCCACCGCAGTTGCAGAAGCAGCAGAACCAGGAACTGAGCCTCCCACATCTCCCTTAGGCCTGGGCCACACTGAGCCCCCCCAAAGGGAAGAGGTCAGAAAGAAAGGAGGGACAGTTGGACAAAAGAGAGTTCTGCAAAGATATGGGGTGGAGGAAGGGAATCTAGTAGAGGGACAAGGACAGAGACCTGGAGATAGAGGGAAGAACCAATGACCAGAGGCTGGAATCTGGAGGCAAGCTGGACAGATCAGGCAGCAGGAGCTGGAGGGGGGAGAGTCGGGGGGTTCCAGCAAATGGGCAGGGCACTAGCAGAGAGCAGAGTGGAGGCAAGGTGGCTTGTCTTGAGCTGGGAGGCAGTTCTGCTGCTCCCAGGGCCCTCACCCCTGTCCTTCTGCCTTTCCTCCACCTTCCCCACTTCCCCTCCCCGTTGCTCCCCCACCCCCACCCCAAGGCTCACGGTTTCGCTTCGCAGTGGAAAGTCTGAGGGGGTTGATTCCCAGCAGCATTACCCTCCACCTCTGTGGTGGCGCTCCCCTTGTTTATTTCCTCAGGCCTGGGTGTCCCCGCCGACACCTCCCCCACCCTTCTGACTATTCCTCTTCCTGGGGAACTTCTGCATTCTCTCCAAGCCTTATCTGCCTGGAACTACCCGCTGGCCCACCTCTAAGCTGCTGCTCCGGTCTCAACATTTTCTTGGCAAACCTTTCCCTTGGTACTCATCTCCTCTCTCATTCCCTTAACCTCCCAGGACTTTCATTTAGCATGAGACCTGCCTCCCCACCCATCCCATAGCTCCTGGGAATAATGCAGACCTAAAAGATGGTAGGTCTGGGGAGGGGCACCCCAAGTCCTCAGAAGAAGAAAAGCTACATTATATTGAGCCTTCACTGAGTATATTGTGGTGGAGGTGAAGATATGGGGTGGAGGGACTGTATTGGATACTTTACAGATAGTAACTCATGAAATCTGATATCCCCCATTATACAGATGAAGAAACTGAGGCAGCCTCAAAGATTAATTGACCAAGGTCAGTTATGGAGTTATGAAGCCAAAAGGTGTGTCTGTGGTCCAGACTCTGGGTGAGTTACCGATGTCCTCTCGAAGAATGGTGGGGTCAATCACACACACACACACACACACACACACACACACACACACACCCATCCAGTTCAAGACCACTGTGTACTCAGCAGCTTCTCCCAATCCAGAGGTTTTGAACTAACAGGGCAAGGGAGATATGGATATGGAGAAATGCAGAAATCCTGCAACAGAGATCAAACTCAAGAAAAACTGAGACAGAACTAGGGAAGGAAGTCTGACAGAAGGGAACTCTTGCTCCCCACCCCACCCAGCCAGAGGAGCCCAGCCCAGAGAGGTGGAGTATGGGTGCCAATAACTTGCACCACACCTGGGAACCACAAGAGGCCCTGGACTTCTCCCCTGCCTGACCAAGTGCTCACTTCCTCACGACCTGGTGGAGGACAGGTTTGATGCCAGACAACTCTCTCTCCAGGTCCCAGGAGGCTGAGACCCAGGCCTCCCAGCCCTCTCCCACTTCAGGGGCGGGACTTCCTGTTTCTGAGGCTACTTCTTTGCCTGGTTCAGCACAACAAGAGCTGGTAGCTTTCCACTGGGCTCAGCAGTGTCTAGACCTGGTGTGGGCTAGCAGGGAAGTGTGTGTGTGTTCTGCTGGGGAGGAGCATCCCTAAGAATCCAAAACCAGGAAAGAAGTTAGTTCTCAGAGAAGCTGCAAGCTCCATGTCCACCCCTGGAGTGCAGATCTTGTCTTCTTGAGTGGTGGGTGGTAGGAGAATACAGCTGCTTTTTTATAGAAGGCAAGGGTCCTGATGGAATGTGACGTCTGCCACCCCTCTCCCCCTGCCCCGGGAAAGCAGGAGACAGGTTAAAAACAGAAGCGCGACCGTTTCTTTATTAAATTATACAAAAAGGGGAGGAGAGGGGAGGGGGGCAGCTGTGGGGCTCGGCCCCAACCCTGGCCCCACCCCGGCCTGGCGCTGTCTGAGAGAAGGGGATCTGAGGGAGACCCAGGGATCAGGCAGGGTAGGGATGGACCGGACATGAGGCTGGGATGCAGTGGTGAGGAAGGAGAGGCTACCGGGGTCGGGGGGGGGGGGGGAGGGAGGGAAGAGAGCAAGGACAGGGAGAGGAGCGACTGGGGACCAGCTGGGGAGCTCAGATGGAGCAGGTCAAGAGGTGGAACAATGGCAGAGTGAGGATAGAAGGGGCGGTATCTGGAGAGGGGACATGAGAAAGGCTGGGGACAAAGAGGGTGGCAGCTCTGGTGCAGGGTCCAGAGCCAGGAGCCAGGTGAAGAGTGGCTGCAACTTGTCTGTTCTCACCCCCACCTCCAGGCCCGGAGGGGCCTCCCACCCCCAGCCCATTGGCAGGGGGCTCAGGCCGATGCCCCATTTTCTGTTTTCTGCCGCTTGGGATCCGCTTCATCCTGTGGAAGGAGAGCTGGGCTTAGCGGCAAAATGGGAGGGGGACCGCCCCCTGTCCCTGCCCTGCTCCAGCCCCCGCCCTTGCACCACAGGGATCCAGGTCCAAGTCCAAAGGGCTCCCAGCCCCTGCTGCATCCCTGACAGCCCCTCGGGCCCCACAGCCCAGCCCAAACCTCCTCTTCAGCAGCTCTCTTCAGCGCGGGCCCTTCGTCCTCATCTTCTTCTTCTTCCTCATCTGAGGAGCCAGAAACGGGTCATGGGGGAAGGGCAGGAAGCTCTGGCACAGACCCCCGGTGGTTGCCCTCAGCCCTGCTTCAGCTCTTCAAACCCACCCGGACTCGCTCCTTTGAGCCCCGCCTCCCCTGCCCCTCCCCACCTTCTTCTTCCCCTTCATCCTCCTCCTCTCCGTCCTCGGCAGTTTCTTCTTCTTCCTCCTCAGCTCCGTTCTCCTCCTCCTGTGGGGGCCGGACCGGGTGAGGGCCGAGGGAGCGGCGTCAGGCTGGCCAGGCTGGCCGCGTGCCTCCGCCACCACCAACGGCGGGGGGGGGAGGGGGGGGCCCGCAGGGGCGTCGGGACCGAAGGGTGGGAGGGGCCAGAGCGGAGGCAGGACCCGGCCCCCCCACCCCCACGCCCAGGTAAGTGGAGGGGAGCTGCGGGTCTCCTCCACCTGACCCCCGACCCCTCCGCACCTCCACCACTTCTTTCTTTCGCTCTTTTCGGCTGGCCTTCTCCTCCACCTTCTCTTTCTTCTCCTTCAGGTCCTGCAAGAGAGAAAGAGGTCACCTTCCTGTCACCACCAATGAGCTGCAGCCGGTCCCTCTCGCCCCGTTCTCCCTCTGCAGTGAGTTTAAGAGGGCCGTGAGAAGGAAGGAGTTGGCTACAGCAGCTCAGGGGCAGAAGAGAGGTCCCAGGGTCCACAAGGCCACAGGGGGGCTGGGACCAGACACTGTCCCCAAGACTCAAGGGAGGAGGGAAAGGGATGAAGACAGAGGAATGGAAGCCGAGGTCACTGCTCATCACTCCCATCAAGTTCTCCAAAACCTCACGGGCTGAAGAGTTCAGCTCAGTAAAGCAAATCCCCTCCATCTGCTCGCAGCCCCGATGCCCCACCCCCTCTTGAGGTCCCTCCGCCTTCCTGGCCTGCACCCTCCCGCTGCCTGCCCTGCTCTGCCTTTTGTCTACCTCTGGGGCCTTTTCCTGAGTACTCTCTCTCCTGGGCATCTCTCCCAGCTTCCCCCTCGGCCTCCTCGAATGCCTTTGTTTCTCCGTCCGTGTGTGCCCCTACTCCTCAGGCTCCTACATGGCCAAACACGACGGGAACAGGGAGAGCATCCTAGCAGAATGCACACCTACTCCAAACCAGTTCAAGTAGTTTCTTCCTCCCTACACCCGGCGGGTGGTGTGGTGTGCCCGTGGTGTGCGCACTGGCGTGACAGAAGGGTAGAAGTAACCATTTCCAGGGGGAATGGCAGTACAGGAGGATTAAAGGCAACATGGAAGGGAGAGGGTACTGGCCATGGTAGATGAAGAGAGACAAACAGGGTCTGCGTCTGGGCTGGGATGATGAGATGAAGACTGTAGATGGAGAAGGTTACCTGTCTGGAGTACCCTCCCTCCTTCACCCCAGGAGCCCAGCAGGCACACCTTTAATGTCCCATTCCGCTATAGCAGACGGGGATGCTCCTGGGTCCCTTCTCTCTGGACACCACACGGGCTCTTCCAGTTTAGATTCCAGCCCTCTTCCCACCCCCCTCCCCAACAGCCCATGGCAGGCGCTGATCAACTGTGGATGTCCCTGTGTGATCTGATCTGGTGTTGGTATACAACTCTGCGTATCTGATTCCATGTGGATGGAAGTTTTGTGTGAGTAGATCACCCTGGAGGGTGTGTCCTTTCTGGACCAGGATCAGGGACAGCAGTAGGGGTTGGTGCAGAATGGTTGACCTGGAGGGACACCCAATTCCCTTCTCCCTTTAAGGGGAACACAGGACACAGGACCCTCTCACTCTAGCTCGGTTTCTTCCTGCCACTTCCCTGTCCTCATTTCTTGGCCACATGATCCACAGGGCATCCCCACTACCTGATGAGCTTTCTCCTGCATCCTGGGCCTGGAGAGGCAGGGGCTGGTCGCCTTCTCTCTGGGGGCCCCAGCACCAGGTCTGTGCTGCCCTGGCCTGAGTTTCCCATCCAGGCTGACAGAGGGAGGGAGGGAGGGAGAGAGAGAGAGAGAGAGGGAGGGAGGGAGGGAGGGAGAATTCTAGAGCGGGGAGGGAGGGAGCCTACCAGAGACCAAAGTCCAAGGGGCCGCGCCCTCTCCTCCCCTGTCCCGTCCTTCTGGTCACTGTCCTTCCATGATCCCTTTTCCAGGAGGGTATGTGAGTGAGGTCTTGTGCTAAGCAGCTCTCTGGCCTCATTTACTCAACACAGGCACACACACTGACACAGGCTGACACCAATTCACACACCCAGCGACAGAGGAGCGCCCCCAAGATCTGGAGACACATGGCCCGGTGTTTGGACATTCTGGCACACACTCTTGAGACCGCACCAGAGGGCAGTGGAGCCTCTCGGCACTCACAAAGCAGCAACATGGCTCCAGAACATCCCCGTCTCCACATGCACACATGTAACTGACACGGGCAGTCCCACACACTCGCTGGATTTCAGACATACAAAGACACCTACTCAGGAAAGTCACATGCCACCACACAGCCCACCGGAGGGCCCCACCGCACACCTTATCAGCTCTCACACACAGCCCCTCTCTGCCACTGCCTTTAATCCCGTTGGTGGCCCCCTTTCACTTCGGGGGCCTCTAGGAGACCTCTGTGACCTCCTCAACAACCAACCCCACCCCCCACCAAAGTCGGGCTCCCAGCCCCCAAACGCTGGCCGAATTAATTTCCCAAAGCGATACTCAGCAGGTTCCCTAGGGAAATTAGAGGAAGGCTGGAAGAGAAGCAAGGGCAAAGGGATGGGGCCAGGGAAGGGAGACGATGAGAGCAAGGACGGCTCGATGCAATGCCATGCAACGCTGAGCTTCAGCTTTCTCGAAAGCGATTCTCACCCCCGTCATGATTTTTAGGAATCCAAGACTCTTTAAGTGTGTGTGTTGCGGGGGGGAGGGGGAGAGGCTGGAGGAGGCTACGGAGAGAAAAGAGAGCAGAAGGCCAATGGGGGAAGAAACGGATACAGACGGAAGGAAAGGAGAGAAGGAGAAAACAGACGGAGGCAGTAGCCGTCCGAGAGAAGCAAGAGGCTGTCGGGCCTCGAGGGGAGGGGCCCGAGAGCAAAGCAGCCTCCCGGGAGAGTCCTGTTTACTCTGGAGGATGTCAAACCGCTTAGCAGAGGAAAGGTGAGGTCAGACTGGAAGGAGAGACGGGGAAACGGGGCGCGGAGAGAGGGAGCGGGGGAGGGGCACGGTAAAGTGAGCCGCGGCGCGCTCCGACGGGAAGCGGACGGGGTAGAGGCGCGCGAGCCGGAGCCGGGGAGGGGTGGGGACGGCGGAGGGGGCCGGGCGCCGGCCGAGCGGCGAGGCCGGAGCCGCGGCGCGCGGCGCTCAGGAAGCTAGAGGGCGCTGGCGGGAGCCGCGCGAAGCGGGGTAGGCAGCGCCGGGCAGGGGAGGGAGGGGGTGGGGAGGGCGGAGTGGGGTCCGCCGGGACCCGGCGCCGGGGCAGCGTGGGGCCGTCGGGGGCGGCGTGGGGCGCCAGACGGCGCGGAGCTCGGGGGTCGCGCGGGGTTCGGGCCGCCGCTGTCCCCGCCCGTACCTTGGCGCTCAACTCGGCCGCTGCCTCCACGCTCTTCTCCGACATGGTGCCGGGGCCGGGGCCGGGGCTGGCGGGGAGCCGGGGTCCCGGGGCCGGGACGGAGGAGCCCTGGACGGCGGAGGGTGGCCGCGGCCGGAACCTGGCGCGGTGGCGGCGGCGGCGGCGACAGCGGCAGCGGCGGCCGCTCAGCAAGCTGGGTCTCTGGAAGAGGCGGCAGAGGCGCGCGGGGTGGGGCGGGGGTGGGTCTGGAGCGGAGACCCGCAGGGCTGCGGCCGTCCGGAGGGCGGGCGGAAGGGCGGTGCGGGCGGTGGCCGGCGCGCTCCGGCCGCGGTCGCTCGGTCCTCGGCTCGCCGCCCCCGCACCAGCAGAGCTGCCGCCGACCAGCCGCTGCCGCCCCCGGGCAGGGAACCCGCTTATAAAGGCGGCGCTGCCCGACGGGAGGGGCTTCCCAGGGGTGGGGCTGGCGGGAGCGGGGAGGAGAGGAGAGGGGAGGGGGATGAAAGCGGAGGTTGGCGAGGTGGGGATAGGAGGATGAAAGCGAGGGGAGGGAGCGCGCGAGAGGCGGGAGGGAGGACAGGACCAGGAGGGGGAAGTGGAGAGACTGACGGTCGCGGAGAAAGGAGTGGGGCGAGGAGGTGGGAAGGGGTGGGGTTCCGGCGGGGAGGGACCTCTCCGAATCCCGACCTACTGCCTGCGAAAGTGGAGTCTGTCTTTTGGGGGCGGACTGGAGGGATGGCCAGAATCCTACTGACCCTCCCCACCCCCACCCCCAAGAAACCCTGAGATTTTGCCAAGGGATGGGGTGGGAAAAGCAGATGGAGAGGCCGGGCAGGTATTTGAGAAACCAAAAGCTTAAGGAAGAGGAAGAGGGTGGCGGGGATACTTCCACATCACGCCGGCTTTCCCCTCTCATCTTGCATCGCCTTTCTCTGGATGGCCTTTAAGAGGGGATGGGAGGGCCAAAAGGGCAACCCACCCTCTGTCCTGCCCGAGGCGGACTTTTGTGAGCCCTCCTGGGTTCCTCCCTTCCTGGATCTTTCTGGAGCTCTAGAGGAGTCAGAGGCCCTCCAGGCTCCTTCATTCTCTTCCATCTTGGACCGCTCTTACACGCCCATCCCATCTCACTCGTCTTTGCCTGGTCTTTCTCTCTTCATCCCTGCTCATTCATCTGTACCCAGACCCCTCCCTCGCAACCATTTATCCTTCACGTCTCTCATTCTTCTGTTGCCTCTTCTCCACTTCTCATTCCCCTCTTCAACCCTTCCATCTCTGATCTCCTTACCCCCTGTCCCGGACCACACTGTTCCTGTATCATCTGAGTCCGACACCTGGCCCTATACCCTTCGAAGATTTCCCCCAATTCTTCTCTTCAGGTCCTGATTGATCTTCTACGTTTTCCCTCTCTTTGCTGGTCTCTTTCCTCTGCTGCCATCTTCCCCAGCCTTTCTGGATTCTATTTGCCTCTTTTGCAAGGTCTGGAGTTCCAGCCCCACCCCGTTCCACTCATCCTCAGTTCCTGGCCTGCAGTCTCAGTATCTTTGGATCATTTTGAGAAGCTTGGGGGTTTCAGGAGCTGGGTGTATTAATGGTCAGGAAGGTGGGTGGAGTGGAAGGCTAGGGTTTGGAAAAGGATATCCTTGGTGTGTGTGCCCTCCCATATTTGTCTATCATTATCATTAATTGTCTTATCATTTTCATTTTCTTAATAAGAAAGACACACTGATCAATCATCATCATTTGGTATCTGAGTGCTTATATATGCCATCTTTTGGTCCTATGGTGTACACACCTCCCAATTTCTCTTTCCCACTCTTCTTATCAGTTTCTCAGTCTCCATCTCCTCAAAAATCTTGGAGCCCCACCCAGGTTTTTCCTTGCCGGACTCTGATCATCTTTCTCTGAGATCTTTCCATCTCTATCTCAGTCTGTTTCTCCGACTCACTCACTGATGTCTTTAGCAATCTCTGACCCTCTCCATCTCTGTACTCTCCTGCTTCATTTCTCTCCCTCTCCCCTCTCCTTTACCCCCCACCCAGTCCCCCTGTCTCGCTCCCTCCCGTCTCTTTCCTCTCCCTCCCACCCTCCTTTCCTCTTCCCCTTCTCCACCTCCGAGCCCCGCCTGCCGTCTCGGACACCCTGCTGGGCTCTTACCCTGTTGCCCTGGTAACCACCCCCCACTCCGGTCACCTCCACTCCCCTCCCCCCCTCCAATCACCGCTACCAACAACCTCCATCCACCTTCCTCCTATTTTTCCTGAGAGCCAATAGAAACACTGTTGCCAGGTGGAATGCTCATTTGAATCAGCCAATCCAGGAGTCTAACTGCTTGCCCTGCCTTATATGGGGATTTGAGGAGGGCCACTCCCCCCACTCCAGCCCCACAGGGGACCAGCCTCTCCACTGTCCTTTCTCCCCGCCCTGGAGAGAGCCTGGGACCCTCCCTGTCACCCTCGTGTAAGGGCTTGGCCTCCCATTTCTCAAACTGGGACCACCGGGGTTAGCGTGGGGAGTGGGCCGGACTGTGGGCTGGGCCTCTGGGCTGGGGGTGGGAATGAGGTGTGATTAGGAAGGGGAGGCGGAGGGAGCCGGGAATTTTGCCCAGGGAGGGGTGTCTGGGAGCGGAGGCAGCTGCAGTGGAAAATTCCAGGGAGATGGAGAGGCAGAGAATGGGAATCCTGCCCCAAGGCCCAAGGGAGTGCCTTGAGAATCTAAGAGTTTGGACACTAGGGTCCCAAGGGACCACAGGAAAAAGATCTAGGAAGCAGAAGGCCTGGATCTAATTCCCTTCCTGCACAGGGAGAAGCATCTCTTAGCCTTTCCTGCCTGGTTGGACAACAGACCCGGCCTCCTGACATCTGGGCTTCATGAGAAAGAAGCTAGAAGTGGAACTTGGGATGAATTTGGAGCGAGTGGGATGCTGAAAGCCTAACGCCATAGTCCTTAGGGTTAGTGTCCGGGCCTTTGGGGCCAGTGGTGTTAAATGATGCCAGCTTGTGCGTGCTCCTTCCAGAGAACTACTTCTGGGACCTTGTAGAGGCTTGCCTATTCCTAGAGTTCCATTACTCCTCAGTCCAACTGAGAATTTCTCCCACTAGTTGAATGGGGAAACCTGGTGCTTCATACACATTTTCTGGAGGTGGGAAGAAGGAAGCCAGGTGAGAACAAGGGAGGCATGAGCGCCCTGGAGACCATGGCTGCTGGCCTGACATCCTAGAGATTTACCTCACTACTGTGTGAAAGGTGTTCAATTCTAGCTCTTGCCATCTTATTCTTAAGTGAATTCTTCCTTGTCTCCAGCTTCCTGAGTTTTTTCAGCTTGCCTGTTTTTCTGATAAGTTAAGTGCTAAGGAAGCCCTGGTGATCCTTGGAGGCATTGGACGACAGAAACATGAAAATTGAACCTCCATACTTCTCACTGTACTTTTTTATCCCCATTCCACTTCCAGTATAACTCATTTTCTATTCCTCATTTTTCCTTTTCTTTCTTTTTTTTTTTTTTTAATCTTTTCAAAACTCAGGTCAGTGGAGAGTTGAGAGGAGAGGGACTCCTAAAGAGAGACCTAAACCAGCCTAAATTTGAGCATGTTTTTGTTTGTTGCCTGCAGGAGTGTTCCTTAAGAAAGCCTCTTCACAACTCTCAGGCACATCCATCAGGAACACTACCCTGTCACATTGTATTAAGTAGGGGTAAACTTTTTTTAATTCTCAGTTTTCTTTTTGCCCTCTGCACCAAGCTTGAACTCTTGCACTTCAACAAACTTAGGGAGCTCCTCCTTGGTGTCAGACACTGTGCTATGTGATGGGGACACGAAGCTGAAAAAGAGATGGTCCCTGCCCTCAAGGAATAGATGGGGAGAGCTCAAAGTACAGCCTGGAAAGGGACAGGCAGGGGCGCCTGGGTGGCTCAGGCAGTTAAGAATTGGCCTTCAGCCCAGGTCATGATCCCAGGGTCAGCGGGGGAGCCTGCTTCTCTCTCTCCCTCTCCCTCATGCCACTCCCCCTGCTTGTGCTCTCTCCCCCCCCACCCCAGCCTCAAAAAAATAAATAAATAACATCTTTAAAACTTAAAAAAAAAAAATCCTTTGAAAAGGGACATGCATCCAGCACTCTTTCCACCAGGCAGACAGCCCACTGTCTCCATGGGTACACTTTTCTAGAATGCCTCCCGGTTCTCTCCTGATTTTACAAATCTTTATCCATTGTTCCCAACTCGGAACAGCCTCCCGTGCTTCCTCCACCCTTACTACTGATTGTCTCCTTCTCCTGTGCCTAATATCTACCACGATGCTAGGCACCAAAGAGGAAGAGCTCAATAAATCACTGACTTCGTAGCCCTGACACACCATTTTGGCCTCATTCGCAGAGCCCTCTCAACATTCTTTCTTAGAGTAGCCTCTCTGACTTGGAATCTTGTAACTGCCGATGTCCTGGCGGCCACCGTCTTTTATGCTATCATCACAACCAAAAGTTGTGTGGCTTTCCTACTTCCCTGTGAATCCTCTCCCCAGCAAAAAAGAATTAGTTTTACCATCCTACGTCTCCTGCAGAGGTTCTAATTGGCTAATTCTCCACACCCTCTTTCCTGACCTCCATTTTTAGACCAAGCATAGTTGCCACTGCCCTCCTTTCAATTTCTCCTCCTTGCATATGCTTTTCAGAAAGACTTCACGGGCCTTCAGAAAAGTCTGGAAGGAAGATCACAATCTATAGATGCTTTCTGGCTCTGCCCAGTAAAATTTACTGTGATGATGGAAGTATTCTATATCTGCCCTTTCCAATATAGTGGCCACTAGCCACGTGTGGTTACTGAACCCTTGAAATGTGGCTAGTGCAGCTAAGGAACTGCATTTCTTAATGTTATTTAATTTTAATTAACTTTAAATAGCCACCTGTGGCTAATGGCTACCATATTGGACAGCAGTACCACTTTAGACCTCAGCCATAAACTGTCTCCTTTTTCCACCTTCTTGCCCTTCTCCATCCCCAGTGTTCTGTGGGTAGAATGGTGAGAGCAGCTCTGGCTGCCATGTAGAAGGTCATCTGGGCCGCTGCCGTCATGTACTTTACCGTAGGTGCAAGTCTGTCCAGGGTTCCCACACTTTTAAGGGTTAAACAGACCAGGTGCCTGAGGCAGAGGACAGAGAATAGAAATGAAAAGTCTAGGGGCAATGTTACCTGGAGTGACAGTTAGGGACTCCTTTTGCCCAGAGGGTAAAAGACGGAGGGAGGACTCAGGAACCAGGAGGAGGCAATGACAGTGGCGCCTGAACACTTTCCAGGACTCCAGTCTCAGGGGTCCTGTTCTTACCCTTCACAGTCTCCCTTAGCGATTCCACATGGACTTCCCTCGTTTTGGGTCCCACTGCCAGCAGAAACTTCTAACGCCAGGGACTCACAAACCTCCACCTCTAGCGCTGTGACCCCTTCCCTTCTGGTCATCAATCCCTCGATGCTCTGGAGCTCCTCAAACCCCACATGATCCAACTGAGATTCTCTCGCTTTCTAGTTCAGTTAAAGGTACTATCCTCCACCCACTCATTCCTGCCAGGGGGGTCACCCAAGACCACCTTTTCTTTCCCTCCCC